GGTTAGTCACAAAGATAGCCGAAGGATCATCTGTAGCTCCGGCTGATCCTTCTGCTAGCTTCAGCCACCGGAGCCCTTCAGTTCAGTAGAACGGAAGGGCTGCTATACGGGCTATTTACTATAGCCCGTACAGCTCCCGAAGTTTGCTGAGCAGCCGAGCCTAGGCGAAGGCAAATGCTCCGGCTAGACTGAGCTGAGGTGAAGCCCGTAGCGGGCCGAAAGCCTCGCATTGATTTTTTGGGGTTTTAGGTTTTTGCAATGATCTTTTTTTTTTACTTGTTTTATTCAATCATCTTTATTTTTTTATTTTTTTTATACAACAATCTTTTTTTTTAATTTTCTTTTTGGAAATCTTTATTTATTTTTTATGATTTATCATTTATTTAATTTTTTAAACATTTTTTTTTCAACTCTTTTTTTTTTCTACTTTCTGCATTGCTCTATTCTGCTCGGTACTACGCAGGTACCGAGCAGAATAGCTGAGCCGAATGCCGCTCGGCGGCATTTAGCTATTCACTCACTGCTGTTTGACCCCCTATGAGAATAGGCCAAACGGTAGTGAGTAGCCTGCCGGATGTTCGGCTCAGCCGATCCAGATGTTGGATCGGCTGAGTCGAACTCCTTCTGCACTTCGGGTCGGCCGAACATGCTGAGCATGTTCGGCCGAACCAAAGCCAGCAGAAGCAAGCGGATGTACGGCTGATTTCAGCCAATGTACAGCTGAAATCAGTAGTACAAGCCTGAAGTGATTAGCTGAACGGCGTTCGGCTCACTTCACTTCGGGTCGGTTATTCACTCGGCTACCTTCGGCAGCTTTGTGAATGTCCCTCTAAGTTGTATTGAGATTGCAGTCTATCACAGGAGCAAGCTTGAAGCGGTGGCTACTTAACAACACACAGTGACCATGGGGAACAAAAGTAGCCACCCTCCAGGAGGAAGGACAATGTCAGTATGAATTCAGAGATGATTTGAGGATATACAGCTGAGTGATACACAAATAAAATAAATTTGTATTAATAGGTAAAGTACTTGAATGCATTTTTAAGATTTAACTACTAAGATTAGTGTCACTTTAAGGACAGAGTAGAGCTGACTTTGCTGAGTATATCAGGCAACAGACACAACTAGTGAGTGATAGTGAAGTGCTGCTTTTCCTACCGTCCACGTTCATTTCTGGCTCTTACCACTAGAGGGAGACAGAAGTTCACCCATAAAACGCCCTAACAAATCCTTTCTCCCTGAACACAGCCGTATGAACAGCATGGCACCGCTGGAAATGAAAGCTTTGACCGACCATTTTTTACTTGTGCTAATTAGACCATCAATACAAATGCATAAACTAGGTGGCACTAAGCACCCTCTGGGTAACATAGTAAACATGATTAGAGCAATCTGGAATAGTTGGCACACACGTTTACATTACAGATGACACAGTTCTCTTTTATTCCTTGTGCTGGATGTGGGTAACACTCACAGAGAATAGAATAAATAAATGACTGATACTTACATCGCTCCTACATAAAACAAATCTGCATACGGTTTAACAATTGCCTTACAATGCAGCTTGGATGTATTTACGTTCATCTGAAGGATGTCATTTTTGTTTGTAAGAATTTATATTTTGCATCGCCAGTATTTATGTAAATAAAAGACAATAGCAAATTATTAATTTAAATGCATCATATAACATTAACATAGGCTAATGTATATCCAAACGAGCCTAATATCTAATAACAACTAACAAGCCTGAACACCTAAATAAGGCTGGTGAGCTATATAATCTATATGTCAACAGTGCACTTCATGTCCCTACGTGCCCACTGCATGAAGAATGCCTACAGACTTCTCTAAAATCACTACAATGTTGTACTAGCTTTTTCTCTTATCTGATTAGATAATGTGGGTGATTTATTACAGGATATGATACATAGCTATGCAGAATGATTATATAAGATAAGATTGATATAGATTTTACATTTCTGAGAATTGTTATTAGGATACCTTCAAAAAATGCAATTGAATTGCTCCACTCTGGGTTATAGTCCTAAGGATTTCAGTGTGGCAGCCAATCTTGTAATAGTCCCAAAGTCAGTCATTATTTAAATTAAATAATAACAGTTAGAGTAATAATGATGATGATGATGATATGATGATTATTATTATTGATATTAGTAGTAGTAGTAGTATATAATAATAAATATAATAATAACAATTATTATTATTGTTATTATTATTATTAGTAGTAGTAGTAGTAGTAGTAGTAGTAGTAGTAGTAGTAGTAGTAGTATTATCAT